ACTCAGAGAGCTCTGCCTCCCTCTGCCTTCTGAGTGCTGGGATTAAAGGCATGCCCCACCCACCACGCCCAATGGACAATTATTTTTTAATTATTTATTTTTATTTTATGTGAATGAGTGTTTTGCTTGTGTGTATGTAAGTGCACCATGTGCATGCAATGCCAATGGAGGCCATGTGGGCCCAGGTCCTCTGCAAGAACAGCCAGTGCTCTTAACTACTGAGCCATCTCTCCAGCCTCCTTAAGACAATTCAAATATTTATGTTTTTTATGTGTATGCGTGTTTTGCCTGCATGTATGTAAGTGCACCCTGTGCATGTAGTACTTGTGGGAGCCAGAAGAGGGCAACAGATCCCTTGGAACTGGAGTTACAGATGGCTGTTAGCCCCAACGTGAGTGCTGGGAATGGAACTCAGGTCCTCTAGAAAATAGCAAGCACTCTTAACTGGTGAGCCATCTCTCTAGTCCCAAGACAATTATTTTTAACTTTGTATGTACGTGTATGTTTGTGTGTAGGCAAGTACAGGGAGGCTGGAGAACAACCTTTGATGTCATCCTCAGGAATGCCTTCCACCTCCTTTGGGACAGGGTTACTTATTAGTCTGGAGCTCACCACCTAGGTTAGACTGGCTGGCCAGAGAGCTGCAAAGATCCTCTTGTCTCTGTTTTCTCAGTGTTGGAAATAAAAGTGTGTGCCACCATGCCTGGTATTTTTATTTGTGTTTTGGGAGTCAAACTCAGTTCTTCATGCTGGCAAGGCAAACACTTTACCAACTGACTCATCCCTGCTCTGAGTCTGAGTGACTAGAACAAAGTGGCATGGTTACATTTATACCCTAAAGTTACAGAGCAATTTATATTTGGTACACATCTGAATCCTGGTGGTCCTCAGTTCTGCACTCTAAACTGACTTAACAAGTGGCTTTACTGGACAATTTCACTTAGGTATATCATTTGCTTTACAGATATATCTAAAGCTGAATTAATCATATTTTCTTTCAGACCTCTCTTTCTTCTCTATTCCCTATCTAAGTTGTCTAAGCCAGAAACATGGAAATAATTCTCAAGTCTTCACCCTTCCCCTCTTTATCCAGATGCAGTGAACAGGTTTCTACTGCTGTTTCACTTTCTGGGTTTTTCTAAAATCCACTCCCTTTCTTTTATTCCCACTATCACTGTCTCAGTTTCAAGCACCATCACTTCTCCCAGCTAAAATCCTGCTAACTTGCATAGAATGTAGTAAGAGTGGATGTGAAGTCTATGAGAAAGAGAAGACTCAAAGCTCCAGGATCACTATGAAGTTTTGGCCTGGGCAGCTCGAAAAATTCCCTTCTTATTTGTTAAGCTTGGGAAGGTCAGAGGAAAAGTTGATTTGGGCCAGATTGTGTCACATGACCATCTCTGATGAATGGTAGTAGGCTGAGAAGTTTTGGCTGTGCTAGATTTCTTTTTTTAAAATTTATTTATTATTTTTATTTTATGTTTATGTGTATATTGCTTGCATGTAGGTAAGTGGACCCATATCATGCAATGCCTGTGGAGGGCAGAAGAGGCTGTTGGATCCCCTGCGACTGGAGTTACAGATGATTGTTAGCTGCCATGTGGGTGCTGGGATTCGAACCTGGCTCTTCTGTAAGAACAGTCAGTGTTCTTAACCGCTGAGCCATCTCTCCAGCCCCGCTAGTTTTCTATTATCTATAATGGAAATATGTTAATTACCACAAATTTATCAGCTCAAAATATTATATCTTTATCTAATAGTTTCGGTGCATTAATGGTCCAGGTCTGGCTTTGCTGAGTTTTCTACCTCAGGATCTCACCAGGCTCCTATCAAGGTGATGGCTGGGCTGTGTTTTCCTCTGGAGACTCAAATGAAGGAGGGGCTATTTCCAAACTCAAGCTCAATGTTGGGCAGAACTCATTTCCTCCAGGGTGTAGAACTGAGCACTTCAGGGGTTGATTTATTTGTTTGTTTGAGCTAGTTGCTGTCCTTAGCTCCTACAAGTGGCAATGGGATTTTCTACCAAATGGCCCTCTCTACAGTTAGTTCAGAAAAGGAGGTTTGTAGCTGGGTATGGTGGCACAGACCTGTAATCTCGGCACTTGGGAAGCAGAGAAAGAGGATGGAAGTTCTGGACTAGCTTAGATTGCGGTATCCTATCTCTCAAAAGGAAAAAAAATGAAGGCAGGGGTGGGGAGATACTTGCATCTTAAAGGCTATTATGAGTGTAAGACTGAGTCTTCTACCAAGACCTCTTACATGAGGTAATGTAATTATGGAAGTGATATTGTCACATTTTACTGGTTATTGTTATATTTTACAAGTCACAAGTGCCACCTATATTCAAAGGGAAAAGATTACACAAAGGTTTAATCCCTGAGAAATGAGTCTGCCTGCCACACTGATTTTTCCAATAGTAAAAGATAAGAAAGTAGCATGGGATTCTGCTCCCTGAATCATCAAGGCGGAGTCAGTGGACTCTCCTTGCAGAGACTAATCATCCTAAGCTTAGTGGAATTTATTTAGAAGGGATCACAGAACTGAACAAAGATTGGAGAAACAGCCTTATGAAACATCAGCAACAATCTCAGGACACTGGTTTTGTCTACCACCAGAAAATGGGTTACACTTTTGCTACACACCCCTGAAAAGTAATTTTTTGTTTTATTTTGTTTCCTTTAGACAGGGTCTTATGTATCTCTAAGGATCAAACCCAGTGCTTCCTGTATGCTAGGTAAATACTCTTATCACCTGGGCTACCTTCCTCACCTTTTTGGATACTGAGATTTGAACACAAGGCCTTGTGCATATTAGCCACATACTTTACCATTAAGCTGTATCTCCAGCCCCTGTGTAAAGGAATTCCTACCTTCTCTTCTAAACTGCATGACTATTCCAAAGTCAGGGTGTGTTCCTGCTGTTTGTAACCAAGAATGTGCAGACCCTATAGTAGTAGCCAGTATGGGCTGAGAAAGAGGATGGCAGAGACCAGATTTTGGATGATGGCCTTTCCAGTTATAGTAAGTGTACATTTATGTATGTGTATGTATGTATGTATGTATGCATGTATGCATGTATTTAATATGTGTGGATGTTTTGCAGGATTTATGTTAAGTGCACCACAAGCCTGCAGTACTTGGGGAGGCCAGAGGAGGGCATCGGATCCCCTGGAACTGGTGTTATCAACTGTTGTTAGCCACCGTGTGAGTGCTGGGAGCCCACACTCCTGGTCTTCAAGAACAGCCAAGTGCTCTTAACCACCAAGCCATCTCTCTAGCTCCACATTTAATTTTGAGATTTATTTCACTATTTTAAGCACAACGATAATATGAAGATTCTCATGAGGGTCTCTGGGAAGATGGTTATGAAGAAATATGAGACTGAAAACAGGGGACCTAGTTGGGAGCCTTTCCCAGGAGAGCAGTTAAGGGAAGGTGAAACTTGATATGAATCATATGAGTTAGCGCCAGTGGGATAGAAAGAGAAGGTAGACTGGATATTGAGGTTACAGAGCAGTAGGACTTGTTCATTATTAGATATGAGAGGGAGAAAGAAAGAGACTAGGAGGACTTTCCTGTTTCTAATTGAGGCGACTGGATAGGGGTGGTGAGGAGCTGGGACAGGGAAAGCAGGAGCCGGCAACATAGGCTGTCCAACACTTTGGTTGTATGTGGGTTCTGGTATCTCAGACCGGTTTGAGTCTTCTCTGCACTGTGTGGTGTTGAGAACGGTAAAACTACAGCCCGTTCTCTCAACTTTAAATGGAAACAACGGCTTGCCTTTTCTTTGGGTGTACCTGAATTGAATACCGTGTCTGGGATCCAGTAGGCTTTCCATTGTGCTAGCCATTTATTACTCAGAAAGGTTCAGGGAAGACGCCCAGGACAACTGCTTGAAACAGGCAGGAAAGGTTTCTGGGAATGAACTCTGGTTAGGTCAAAGAAGAAAAACAGTTTTGTGGCAGACTAGTTGCAGCCAGGCAGGGCTGAGCTGTCCGCCACAAGTTGTTAAGCAGATGAGTCACTGGAGGCGGCAGGTCAGGCTGCCCAGGCGGCAGCAGGCTGGACCATACTACAGGATGACTTCATTGCTGGTGGGAAGCCGTACAGATCTTCCGGAAGCCCGAAGTTCCTCCACCGCGAAGGAATACATCACTTCTTTCTGCAGGACTTTACACACTATCTCACTGTTTGGAAGGCGCAAAAACAGTGTAGACGGGACAGAAGAGCCAGACCTGGAGCCTGGCTACTCTGGTCATTGATTTGCTGAGTGAGGCTGTGCATTTCACCTCAGCTCGGTCTCCTCATCTGTAACAAAGCCGACAGGGCTCCGGCGTCATGGGAGCCCCGAGAGGGTTTGCAGGCACTCGGCCAAAAGGCACGTTCCGGCGTCGTGCTCGTTAACTGCTACGTATGTATGTATGTATGTATGCATGTATGCATGTATTTAATATGTGTGGATGTTTTGCAGGATTTATGTTAAGTGCACCACAAGCCTGCAGTACTTGGGGAGGCCAGAGGAGGGCATCGGATCCCCTGGAACTGGTGTTATCAACTGTTGCGGGAGGGTCTTCTGCGAACCTTCGCCGGCGTGTGCGCAGGAGTCGCGCGCGGCGTGGGGCGGGCGGGTTCCCGGTGCGCGAAAGCGCGCGAGGGGCAGGTCGGGCCGGGAGGGAGGCTGGCGGTCTGCGGCTGGCGGCAAAGCCCACGGCGGCAGCGGCGGAACAGCCAAGTGCTCTTAACCACCAAGCCATCTCTCTAGCTCCACATTTAAATTTGAGATTTATTTCACTATTTTAAGCACAACGATAATATGAAGATTCTCATGAGGGTCTCTGGGAAGATGGTTATGAAGAAATATGAGACTGAAAACAGGGGACCTAGTTGGGAGCCTTTCCCAGGAGAGCAGTTAAGGGAAGGTGAAACTTGATATGAATCATATGAGTTAGCGCCAGTGGGATGGAAAGAGAAGGTAGACTGGATATTGAGGTTACAGAGCATAGCCGCGGAGATGAAGCGGAGCCGCTGCCGGGAGCGGCCGCAGCCGCCGTCGGCCCGCCGGGAAGATGCGTCTCAGCGGGCGGCCGACCTGCCCCAGCCCCAGCCCCAGCCCTTGCCCCTTCGCCGGCGAGCGCCGCCCGGGAGGCAGCGACTGGAGGAGCGGAGCGGGCCCGAGGGCCGGGAGCAGGTAGGGCGGGCCGGGATTGGCGGGCGGCGGTGGGCGCTGTGGGGGAGGGGGCCTGGCGGCTGGACCCGAACTGCAGCGACTGCGGGGTGGGGACTGGGTCGGTTGGGTGGAGGAGTGGGAGGTCTGGAGAGGCTGAGAAATGGAGGTTGGAGAAATGAACGTGGTGTTGCAGCCAGGCAGGGCTGAGCTGTCCGCCACATGTTGTTAAGCAGATGAGTCACTGGAGGCGGCAGGTCAGGCTGCCCAGGCCGCAGCAGGCTGGACCATACTACAGGATGACTTCATTGCCGGCGGGAAGCCGTACAGATCTTCCGGAAATCCGAAGTTCCTCCACCGCGAAGGAATACATCACTTCTTTCTGCAGGCCTTTACACACTATCTCACTGTTTGGAAGGCGCAAAAACAGTGTAGACGGGACAGAAGAGCCAGACCTGGAGTCTTGTCTACTCTGGTCATTGATTTGCTGAGTGAGACTGTGCATTTCACCTCAGCTCGGTCTCCTCATCTGTAACAAGCCGACAGGGCTCCGGCGTCATGGGAGCCCCGTGAGGGTTTGCAGGCACTCGGCCAAAAGGCACGTTCCGGCGTCGTGCTCGTTAACCGCTACGGGTCTCTCCCATTCTGTTGGAAGTCATTTTTGGATCTCCGGCCCGTTGCTCGGTTCCAAAGTTACTTTCGCGAATGGATGAAAGGAAGAATCAATGGGTGCGGGCGGCTGCCGCGGGTCCCGCCCCCTTCCGCCTCCAACCGCGCTGCTTGCCCGGGCGGGTGTTCTGCGACCGTTCGCCGGCGCGTGCGCGGGAGTCGCGCGCGGCGGGTGGCGGGCGGGTTCCCGGTGCGC